GATAGATCACAAAATACACAAAAACTTATTTCCCCTTAATTTACAACAGATAATCTAATACATCCCCTTTAATGAATCCTAAGGGATCAAATCTCCAATCTTTTAACTGCATGCTATGTTGCACTAAGTCTTTAAAGATTTCTAGTACTGACAATCCTCAATCTCTGCTTTCTTTTTATTGTATACCTTAAAGTCATTTTCGTACATTAATTCTAAATTATCACTGTTCAAGGAAATTTAAGGTGCCACAAAATAAATCTAGTAATTAGTGAAAAACAACACATCTTACAAGTTCTACATTGTTTAACTTGCTTTGTAAAATTAAAGTTACAAATCATAGCACATAGGTTCTTACATTATTAAATTTACTAATGTCATCAGATTTTTTAAAGCTCCTAAAAAAAAAATTTGAAATTAGTTCAGAAAACAAAATAGTAACTTGTTCTTAACATTGTGACTTACACATGTGAGAGCACAGATAATTCAACTCACCTGCATCTGACTTTGGATAATGTCTTTGACTTTATATATATGAATGTTTATATATATTTGGATTCACAGTTAAAGATAAAAACCTAACAAAATACAAATGCCTATAATAAAAATTATGCATACGCACTTTTAAAACTTAGATTCAAACACACTGGCATTTAAAAAAACCCTGAAGTAAAAGTACAATGACTAAATATCTCAGTATTAAATGAGGGGAGAATCACCATTTTACATCTTTAAAAGACAGAATTGACATCAAAGATGCACTCTGAACTCCAAAATAGAGATCTCCTATGTTGCAGCAGTCATTATTCCTTAAAAGTGTAAAGGAATTTGGCAACCAGAACTAGTAGAGATTGTACTAATTAATTTATTTGAGTTACAGTATTAATTAACAGGCTCCACAGTAAGACAGACAAGTGGCTAAAAAGCAAGTTAGAAGGTGAGGCCTAACTCTGCCAATGACTAGATCAGAAAAGTAAGAAAGAAGTTTCTTACAAATGGAGCTAAGGAAACATCAACAAGCAAATGCAAATAAAGAGGACACTAAAATCCAACAAGAAGTATCTGGAGTTCACACAGAAGTAAAATTAAAAGTCAAAATGAAGAAAATATGAGTCAAGAAAAAGTAAGTTATCTACACCACTAACTCTTGAAAGTCAAAGCCTTTATTTAATAGCTTCAAGGGCAGGATCACATCTTATCTTTACTTCCCATAACTGGCACACAGCGGATGCCCCATGGTTATTGAATAAATAAGCAACAGAATGTTCTTGGAATTATTTCACCTGTAAAAAAATTTACCAGGCACAATTCATCATAAATGTACATCAAGTTCCCTAGAGATTTCTTCCTGAATTTGAAGATAGATGACACATTAACCAGGTCATAATCACTGAGAGAACCTAAGATAGTTATCTGTAAGGAGATGAGGTATCACATCATATTTTGTCACAATTAGCAAATTTTAAATACAAAGCATAGTACAGTGCAAATAGTACATGCCAAGAACTAAAATTTGAAATGAAAACCGCTATAGAAGAGTGACTGATAATAGCACCATCTCAGACTACACAAAACACTATGGAAAATTTACCCACAAAACTGAAAATACTAATAGTTTAGGTAGTTTTTACCATCAAAGAACTTTTAATACTTTAACAACCAAACCTACCTTCTATTACTTGCAAACAAAAATATGGTAGCACAAAGCTATATAGCTCTAGTCAACAGAGAATACTTTCTGTTCCATCTCAATGAAATCTTCTATTAATTTCCTCAACCCAGTAATTACATACAGAGAAGACCACTGTTTCTCAGTACTTGATCACACTGAGTAAAACTGATGTCTATTTTAGGAAGCAAAAAAAAGGAGAAAGAGAACCAGAAGATACAGAATATGTTTTAAAAGTGAACAAAGTATTGAGAAGATATTTGATGATCAGAGACAGAAAGCCACATGGTAGTCTAGTGAGTTTTTTAGAAGCTTATAAAAGCGCAATCAATACTGTATATTTACCTCAACCATATTTTCTATTAAGTGATATAAGGTCTTACAGTGAAAAAAAATAGAGATGTCTTAATCTTACTGAAATTAGTTTGTTCCTCAATGCATGCTTTAGACACAGTATGAGATATCTGGTGAATCTGGGAAAATTAAGTCTGAAAATAGATACTGAGTTTATTTTTTTTCTCAACATCCTGCCTCAGAGAGCTGGAGGTAAGGCAATAACTGAAGGGTACCAGCATTATACAAAAGAAATGAGGCTATTTTAAAAAGCTGAATGTCTGAATGAACACAATATAGAAGATACACGAGTTAAGACCCAGGAAAATATGGAAAACATTATATTAAATGTTTACAACAAAGAGCTAAAAGAAATTTTCAGAATCGCAAATTATTTTTTAACCAGTGAACTGTCTCCAAACACCTACTGTTTTAAATTCATAATTTATCATTAGAAAACACATTTGAGGCCCTTAAAAAACAGATTCAAACAGCAATACGGACCTCAAAATTAACTAAGCCAAATAAAATAAAATCTTTACTTGGAAAGGTGAAAATTCCTTTCTTGGGAAAACATCCTGAAATTCTGTCACCATGAATAAAGCATTTGGCAGACTATATTCAACATGCATTCTCTTATGGGATACCCCGCTGGAGCCCATTTTTAGATGCTTATTTCTACAGTAGCTTTTTCAAGAATCAAATAAGTTGATAGAAATTTAAAATTTTCATAATATAACACTGCCATATAGTTATTAACGCCACCTATTATTTTACATAGAGCAACTGTTAAAAAATAAATATATGTGAAAGTTCCAACAGAAAGCTACTCACCACCATCCCTCTCTCTAACTCTGTGAATATGCACATTTTTGGCCTTACTGTGACCTGTGCTGTCACTGTATTTGTTCTCAGGACTATCAGATCTCCGCAACATTTTATTTGGTGGTGAAGGATCTGCGGCGTCTCGCATTTTTTCATGTCTGTGATCACCGCTACTGGGGTGACTCTTCGATGAATACTTAAGTGCCTGTAGAACATCACCCCCCCAAAAAAAGAGAGAAAATTTTTAAACTTTAAACCTAACTTCCTAAATTCATTTTATCATAAAATTTAGTTTTTTAACGTCATTAAATTTTATGAATTTACATCAGTAAAATTAAAATTTCCATTTCACTTATGACTTAAATTATTCAGACAAGAACTAAATAAATGCCTAACTTATAAGGCTCCTCAGACAAATCATACCGCCTATGTTGGAAAAAAAAAGAAACTCCAATTCATAAAGTATCTTGTACATACGTGAAATCAAACACCTCGGTACATTTATTCCTCTATAAATTTTTCTAGGAATTAAAAAGCTTAATCTAAAGAAAAGCAGGATCTGAGTTCTATTGTAATCTACTTCTCTACAGCTGATGCAAAGACTCAAGTAAATTGAGCTTAAGCCTGTTTCTGAAAACCTACAAAAGAAGAAAGCATCGGTTTCTCCAATACTGACTCAAAAATAGCATTTCAAACCTGCCTTACTTATTCTGACCGGTGTGGGAAATCAAGGTATAAGAAAACAATGAAATGTAATGGAGAGTCTTCACAATAATGCTTAAATTTTATCCTAACACATAGTTAAAACAACCATGATACAATGTAATTATGTTTTAAAGGGGCAGACTCAATTGGGTTTATTCTTTGATATCCAAATGTAATGAACAATGGTTTACACATCAGGGGACAGGGTTTTTAACTTGAGCTTTAACGCATGCCAACCAGTTATAGAACTTTGAGCTTTAACGCATGCCAACCAGTTATAGAACTATCAGCTTAGAAACCTACTCTCTTATAATTGCAATGATAGGACCTAAAAATATTTACTTCTAGCGCCATCTGATAGTTAACCTTAAGAGATCCTCCCAAAACAGGCGCCACCTGTATAATTTTTAAAAACTTTACATGCTGCAACTGCAAAAACTAAAAGGGACCTACATAACTAGAATCATCAATATTAGAATGAGTTATCCAAATATCCAAAGACCTTAATTCCTACAGAGCCAAAAGCACCATCTCTCACTAGTAAGGCAACTACTTGCAAAAAAAAAACAACAAAAAACAAAACCCTAAATTGAGAAGGGACAGTGGTTTGCAACACACTTAAGAGTTGCAATCAATTGTTCTTTTCCATACCTTACATCTGATTTTAATATCTTAACGTTACCTTTTACTTCACAATAAAATACAATATAGAAACCTATCACCTGACCCCAACAACTCCTTCACGCCCAAATAATCGAGTCAAGTCCTTTCTGGCTGAGCAATGACTTTTTCCTTAAAAAACTGAACTTCCTCCACTCTGATGGCAAAATAAGTCACTAAACCTTTTGGGAGAGTGCCAATGGACTCAAACAGAGCATTTTAAGGGGACCAGCACTGCTACTTTAAGATTTGTTACACCGAAAGGCCTGTAGCGACATCTGAAGCCTGCGCTCGAGTACTAGGTCCTTCCTCCCTTCCCCCTCCGTCCCCGCATCCACCCCTCCACCCCGGCATCGCCTGGTACCTGGTAAGGCTGCGAGTCCCCCCTCCGGTCGTGACAGCTGAAAAACAGGAAGAGAAACGGTGACTTGAAACATCTCGAGGGAAAGGAAGAAAACGCCCCCCCCAGCGCCCCTCCCCGCGGGAGACCCACTAAACGAGCCGGCGGAGAGCTAGCACACGCACACTTGCCGCCTTTAAAGGCGGTGACGGGGGCGAAACACCGCGAAATGGCCCTGCGCTTCTTCCACACTCACTCTGGCCTCGCCTGCTCGCGCCACCGCTCCTCCTCCCAGCCCGATCCGGACCAGGGTTAACAACAAAAATGGCGGCTCCACCAGCAGCCGATAAGGAGGAACAGCCCCCCCCCCACCTCGCCGCCACCCCCGCCCGCGCCGCGGCCCAGCCCGAAACGAAAAGCCAATTTACCCATCACTGAGTCTCTGCTGTTTCCTCGCATACATTACCATCAATGCACGACCTGTGTGTGTGTGTCGGGGGAGGGGGGAGAGCAGCCGCGAGGGGCGGGCGAGCGGACGGGCGGCAGCACCGGCACCAGGGTCCGGCGCGCCCTCGGCGACTCTCAGCACCTCCCCGTTACTGGCGCCGGCGCTCCCGGGCCATCTCCCTCCGTCCACACCACGCTCACTCTCAACCCGGGGAGAGGCGCCACCTACACGGCGGAAGCGGCCAACGGGGGGGGGAGGGGGGCAATAAGACGCGTCCTGCTCAGCCCGGCGGAGAGCAACTGCCTTCTCCGCCTTCTCCTCCTTCGCCGCCTCCTGCCCTCCTCTTCCCCAGCCGCCCCTTGGCCCTTCTCCGCCAGCCGCCGCCGCCGCCGGTGCCGCCGCTGCCGCTCCACCAACTACATCCGGGCAACTCCGAGGCTGCGGCCTTCGGCAAACCTCGGCAGTTTCCGCCGCGCCCCTCCTCTGCCACCCTCGGCCCTCCTCCCCTTCCGCGCGCAACTCCGGCACGCCGTCTTCGGCAAACCTCGGCTCGATCCCCTTTTCCTCTTCCTCTTCCTCTGAGGCCTGGCTCAACGCCTCCACACCCGTCAGTGCTTTCCGGTTGCCGCTGCTTTTTCTCAGGCTCACGCCGGCCACTGCCGTTCCAGTTTAAGGAGACTCCTGCCTGGGGACCAGCTCGAGGCTGGTCCCAGGGGCCCCGGGGTGCGCCGGGAAGGAGCCGCCTTCGGGAAGAGGACGGTGGGGCGCCGGAGAAGCCATCTCGGACTAAATAAGGGAGGCTGGGCTACTGCGCTTGCGCCGAGGTGGGGGCACAAGAGGGGGGGGGGTTGTCCTCCCAGAGCGCTCTGTCTGCAGGTGCCCGCCCCTCCGGGCTGCAGCGGGGTGGTCGCAAACCCCTCGTTAGGCGACCGGAGAACGGTTATCCTGGGACTTCCTCCGCGAGCAGCGATCGAAGCTCGTGTCAGCGAGGTGGGGAGGGCGCGACTGCCCTCTCGGGCCCTGTCCCTGGATCCGGAACTGGGCCTGGGCACCAGCCTCACACCGGACGCTTAACGCGCCGCAGTACTGGGACTAGCAGGGCTGCTTCAAGCTGGCGCACGGCCGGTTAGAAGTAAGTCACATCCCCAGAAGCGAGCTTTCCCAACGAGGAGTGACGAATATGAAGGGTTTAGGGTGTGTGCCTGCGCGGCTGTCGGGTGGGCTTGCCAAGACTGAGCCGGAAGCGCTGCTCGCTCATTGAATTAAAACGTCGATGAGTTTTAAGGGAATGGGAGACTTGGGAAAAGTGTTGAAAAGCCTCATCTTGGTTTAAGATTTTCCACCTCCAGCGGGTCCCAGTCCACTTCTTCATTTGGAGGTTCGAGATGTGACTGAAAGCATAGGTTGGGGTAAAAGAAATTGCTACAAATTTTACAAACTACAGGCATAATGGAAACATTGGTTTATAGGGAGGAGGAAAGTCAGTTACACCAAAATATTAAGTTTTATTTGAGGGTGGCGGTGTTCAGGTGATTTTTTTTTCCTAATCTTAAACCCCTGCAACAATAACAAAAAGGATTGTAATACACATGAGGTAAATATACAACTATTTCAATAGCATAAAAAGGCAAAAAAGTAAACAAATCAGAAGAAACAAGACCCCTCCAAAAATCTTATGAAAAACTGATTTGTTTGGTAGCCAACAAGTTACATTGTTGCAGGACCCAATGAACACATGGAATGATGTGAGGCAAGGGCTCTGAAATCACGATTGAAAAAAAATTAAAAAGTAATTACATTACTCTGTCGCATCCACCAGCCAAACGATAAGACGAGGACTAGTAAATCCTACTTAATGCCCACTTAAGCTGTCAGCAACTGAAATAACTGCTAAAGACTGAAATGGGGATGAAAAAACTGGAGTTTTATGTGTAATTTCTAACACTTCAAACAAATACGTTGAAGATAGACATCAGATCACAGGGCACAAAAAATAGTACATAAATCTTATGCAGAAACTTTGGATATTGACAAAAGTGTGTGTGTTTGATAATCTGCCGAAATTGATATATACCATTTGATCAAAAGCAGCAAAATTAGGCTGAGCTGTGGAGGAAATTGTTGCAGGCAATGTACAGTCAGTTCTCATTATTCACAGATTCTCTGTTTCCAAGTCTGACTACTCACTAAAATGTATTTGTAAAATCAGTAGCGCAGCATTGATGGGCATGTGATGCAGAGTGGCAAAAATTAACTTGCCTGACACATTCAGATGAAGTTAAACGAGGATACACACAGCCTTATTGTTTCACCTCTTTTACTGAAAACAACTGTGCCTTTCACAGTGTAAATAGTGCCATGTTTTTTTTCCACATTTTGCATGCTTTTTATTGGTGTTTTGCTGTTTTAAATGCTGCCCCCAGCAAAGTGAAAGCTGTCCTGTATTTGTAAGTCCAGGAAGGCTGTGTGTGCTGTGTCTTGTGGAGAAAACGTGTCCTAGAGAAACTTCCTTCTTGGCCATGAGGTTATGTATTTTGTATTCAAGATTATGTATTTTGATTAACAAAAATGTGACCAGAGTCAGGTACCTCACCCTATATTTCCCCTAGGGGCAGCTCACTATTTATTGTGACTTTACAGAACATTACCTCAAATAATGAGAATTAACTGTTTACTAAAGGACACATTTAAATGTTATGCCCATTTTTTTAAAGTCATCTCATTGTCTACCTTAGATTCCATCATCCATTGTTTTAAATCCTCCTTTGCAAATGCCTCGATTCTTTCCTTATCTCTTCCTTCATTTTCCTGTATAACCACAACCCTGCTCATTTCACTGTATGCTTGCTTCACAGCGATTGAAGTTGGCTGGAGAAAAACACAATCATGCTAACTCTGAAGTGAGCTCCTTGTGTTTTCACCCCACCCCCAGTCTAATTTCCCTTATACATTTACCTACCCTGTGCTCTTCGGCAGCTGTTTAGCATCTTTCTTCCTGACTATACATGTCCTCTCCTCACTCAGAAGTCATTATCTTGCTTATCTCTTTAGAAAAATAGAAGAAAACTGGCTGGTGTAGCTCAGTGGACTGAGCGCAGGCCTGCGAACCAGAGGATGGTGGTTCAATTCCCAGTCAGGGCACATGCCTGGGTTGCAGGCCAGTTCCCTGCAGGCAAGTTCCCAGCAGGGGGCGCACTAGAGGCAACCGTACATTGATGTTTCCCTCTCTCCTTCCCCTCTAAAGATAAATAAATAAAATCTTAAAAAAAAGAAAATCAGAAATCAGTAACAGTGCCTGCCTCCTCCCACCATTGCACCTACCAACCTTCCTACATCTGAATACACTGCTACACTCCAGTAACTCAGATTTCCTGAGACCAAACTTGCCACTTTTGCCCTGAGTTCCATTTTACTCTTGGAATTGTCTGTTCTTATAAAAAATTTTTTCTCTCAACTGGATCACCTCCATCAACTTATAAAGATATTTTAATAATTACCATCCTTAAAAAAAAAAAGGACACATCTTGACTTGTATCTCCCTCTAGATGTTACCCTTTTGCTATGATCTGTTCTCCTCTACTGAAAAACTTCACTTCCACTGAACCTGCACAAGATCAACAGTAGCCTCCATGTTCTCAAATCCAATTTTTCTTATTCGGTCTTCATTTCACTTCACCTGTCAGCAGCATTTGAAACAGCTGACAACATACTCTCTTCCTTTTGAAGTGCCTTATCTTGCCTGCCTTGATTCCACTGTATTTCTCTCTTGCTTCTCTTCTTAAATGGCTGTTCTGTAGTTTACTTGCTGATTCCGCCTATTTTCCAGTCTCTAAAAGCTGCAGTGCCTCACAATTCAAATCTCACAACTTGTACTGATTCTCCTCTTTCCGTTCTCTTTCCCTAAAATCTTTAGCTAAAGATCCCATCCAGATCTTTAGCTAAATGAAATCTATATCTGAATGCCCAGCCTACACTTTTATCCTGAACATTGGACCCACAGTTAACTGCCTACTCTACAGCACTGTTTAAATGTCTAACAGGCATCACACACTTATTGTATATAAAGCCAAACTTAATTTCTCCCCACCCCCAACCCAGTCCTGATCAGATCTTACCTATTTTATGAAATAGCTCCATTCTTCCAGGTAAGGCTAAAAATATGGGAATCATCCTTGATTCTTTTATACCTCACATTCACTTCATCAGCAAATCCCGTGAATATTATTTCCAAAATATACCCCAAATCTGATCTCTGTTCACCACCTTTATCACATTCACTCCAGTCTAAGCTACTATCTTCCTATACATGGGCCATAGCAAAGGCCTCATAACTGATTTCCCACTTTTACACTTGCTTCCACATGGCTTCCACAACAGTCAGCGATCCTTTAAGTCAGTATCATTCCTATCTTAAAGCCCACCAATAGCTTCCTGTCTCACTCAGAATAAAAGCCAAAGCTCTTACATGGTCTATGAGGCTCTTTGTGAGCTGCCCCCACCCATGTTACCTCTGGCTTTGTGTTCTTGCTCATTCTTTTCCCACCAATCTAACCTCCCCTTCTCAACAGTATGTTGAGCATGTTTCTGTCTCAGGATGTTTATACCTCTATCCTGCCTAGAATGCTCGTCTTGGTACTTACTTACTTGGCTCACGCTGTCACTTCTTTAGGTCTATGCTCAAATCTCACTTTATCACAAAGGTCTTTCCTCTAAGAACTGTATAAAAATGGAATGCGAGCACCCTCTCCTCCTTGTTCTATTTTTCTTACACAGTTTGCTACATAATTTTGTTATATATCTTGTTTATTGGTTATCTCTTTCTAGAATGAAAGTTCTATGTGATGTATGACTTAAATATTTGTTGAAAGAAAGGATATTTGCCTGCAAAAATATATACAAAGAAAACAACGAACTATTATAGTTCTAATGAGAAAAAGGTGTATGGTTCTATTCCTTCTAAAAGTGAAATTGTAAATCCAGTCCTGCTGTCACAAATAGAGTGAGGGAAAGCTGGATTATTCCCAATACAAATAAAATATTTTAACATAACATTTTTAAAAGTACATAAAATTTGCACATATAACATCTTAAGGAGACCTTTTTTATTCATTTATCTTTACAGGGGAAGGGAAGGAGAGAGGGAGAGAAATATCAATGTATAGTTGCCTCTTGTGTGTCCCCTGCTGGGAACTGGCCTGCAACCCAGGCATGTGCCCTGACTGGGAGCTGAATCGAAATCCTCTGGTTCACAGGCCCGAGCTCAATCCACTGAGCTACACCAGCCAGGGCTTATTTCTTTCTAATAAGTGAACTCAAAAGTGCAAAAGACTTTTGCAAAAGATTGCAAAAAACCTATATTTCAATCTATAGATTAATACATACCAACCAATAAAGGGGGAGAACTTTTAGCCCATAGTTTATAGGTGACCCTGATCTTTTTTTTTTTTTTTTTGGTCATAGGCATTTAAGGTAATCTCTGTTGAATCACTAGCTGACCACTAAGCCAACAAAACAAACTCCAGTGGCCACACAGAGAAATACATACTGAGTTTACAAAGTTAGTTTAGAAAAGTCGTTAAACAACCAGACCACAACAATCACAAGCAGCAACAGCAAATGCTAGGGAGGCAGGGAAGTCTTATTTGCAGACATTACATGATATAATAATTAGAAGGTCCTGTTTCCAACAAAGAAAATTACAAGGTAGGCATAAATATAAGAAATCATGGCCCGTAACAGGAAAAAATTAATAGAAACTCCCCAAGAACACAGAACTATTGGACTTATTAGACAAAGATTTCCTGTGAACCCTTTTAAAAATATTGCAAGAGCTAAAGGAAATCATGGAAAACTAAAGGATATCAGGAAAAACAATGTCTCACCAAGTAAGGGAATCAATCAATAGAGATTGAAATGATCAAAAGGAACCAAATAGGAATTCTGGAGTTAAAAGTGTAATAACTGAAACTAAGAATTCACTGGAGGATTCCAGCAACAGATATGAGTAGTGAGAAGAAAGAATCAGCAGAGTTTAAGATAGGTCAGTTAAGATTACCCAATCTGAAGAACAAAATGGAAAAAATTAAAAATCAACAGCTTAAGAGACCTTTGGGACATCAAGCATACCAATTTTTGCATAATGGGTATGCAAGAAAGAAGGGAAAGAGAGGGGGAAAAAGACTATTTGGAGAACTAATTGCCCCAGCTGGTGTAGTTCAGTGGATTGAGCTCGGGCCTATGAACCAGAGGATTTCTATTCAGTTCTCAGTCAGGGCACATGCCTGGGTTGCAGGCCAGTTCCCAGCAGGGGATGCACGAGAGGCAACCATACATTGATAATTCTTTCCCTCTCTCCTTCCCTTCCCCTCTGAAGATAAATAAATAAAATCTTTAAAAAAAATTATCAAATAACTTCCCAAATTTGATAAAAGATATGTAGTTGTTTAAGATCAATGTATGGTAAATTCAAAGAAACCTACACCAGGACACATTGTAATCCAGCTGTTGAAAGTCATTGACAAAGAATCCTGAAAGCAGCAAGAGAGAAGCAGTCCTTACATACAAGAGATCCTTAATAAAATTAACAGCTTTTTTTCTCACCTGAACACATGGAAGCTAGGAGGCAATCAGATGACATATTCAAATACTGACAAAATAAACTGTCAACTTCCAGTCAAGATTGCAGCATAGGTAATGCACAACTCACCTCCTCCCACGACCACATCAGAATTACAACTATGCTATAGAACAGCCATCATTCAGAATCGATTGAAATCTGGCTGAATGGTAGTTCTACAACTTTGGAATTAAAGAAGAAGCCACACTGAAGAAGAAGCCATATGAAACAGGCTGGTCTCATACCCAAGTGTGGCAGATAAAAAGGGAACTCAAGAATTAAAAGATTTTAGCCTTAGTTGATAGGCTTAAGTGATTAATGCATGTGGAAAACTGTTATTCCAGGAACTAGAATGCATGATCTGTGTGACTCCAGAGGTCAGCAAGCATTTCAACTTTTGTGCCCCAGGTTTGCAGGTGATGGAGATGGTATCTGAGTTGTTGATCAGATTTAAAAAGTACTTGGAATGCCCTGGCTGGTGTAGCTCAGTGGATTGAGCGCAGGCCTGTGGACTAAGGGATCAAGGTTCGATTCCCATTCAGGGCACATACCTGGGTTACAAGCCCGTTCTAAGCAGGGGACGTATGAAAGGCAACCATATATTGATATATCTCTCCCCCTCTCCTTCCCTTCCCCTCTAAAGATAAATAAATAAAATCTTTTAAAAAATAAATAAAAAGTACTTGGAAAATCATTCCTGGATTGCAACTCTTATCCAATTAACCTTGTTTTCCAAACCCCTTACCTACCTTTTCTTCTTACAAAATGTTGACTTGAGATGAGACGTTAAGATGGTTTTTGACGGGACATAAGCCCATGTCTTCTCAGATTGTCAGCATCTGCATAAAGTGCTCATAAAGATTCAGTCCTTGTGTCTATTTAATGGTTTTGGTGGTGACAGGCAGTGTGATTGCCTATTTTTTTTTTTGTTTCATTTTCTGGCAACTTTAGTGGGACACATTCCCAACTCTTCAGTAAGCCTAGGTTTCTGGCACGGAGTCCCATTGACTATCTGGACTGAGGTTCCCCAGAGTACGGATTAGGATACTGCCTAGCAGCTGCCAAGCGATTTCACTTGGGGACTCCGATTCTCAGCACTCTGTTGCCTTCACTTTTGATTGAATCGCTGCACTTTCTGGTTCAGAACTGCAGTCCTGGGTTACAATGCAGAACTGGTCATTAGGAATTAAGGTTTGTGTGATATTACAGACCTCTGTCTGGTTGAATTGTAGTCCCAGCTTACAATTTAGAATAGTTGTCAGGAATTAATGTGCCTTCCGGTTTGTGTGATACTACAGAACTTTGTCTTATAGAGAAATGGGGTGGTGAGCTTCCATTCTGTGAGCTTTTACAAGAAGATGAAGAGTTTTTCTTAGGACAGCCTACCACCATTTATGCAACCCACCAAGTGTTGAGCTTGCTTGAGCAAAAATGAAATTTTTGACTCACTGCTAGAAGAATGGGAAGGTATCAAACAATTTAAAACTAAGTAAGGCCCTGGCTGCTGTGGCTCAGTGAATCGAGTGCTGGCCTGCGAATCAAAAGGTCACAGGTTCAATTCCTAGTCAGGACACATGCCTGGGTTGCAGGCCATCTGTGTCCCGTTGGGAGCATGCAAGAGGCAACCAGTTGATATGTCTCTCACATGTGAATGTTTCTCTTCCCCTTTTTTCCCCTCCCTTTCTCTCTGTAAAATAATCTTTAAAAAAACAAAAACGAAACTTTAAGTTAATCCTGCCTCTCTTATTCCAGAGCCTGACTCAGCTATACTAATACATGACTGTGCTGAAATATAGACTTGATTTAAGAGAGAATTAGACTTGATTTAAGGAAAGAGGACTATTAACTCCAATAAAAAGGAAATTAAGCTTGCAAGAGAAATTTGAAATTATTAGAGGCTGTTCAGGTAGGTACCTTTATAGGTGATAGTTATGCCCTACCCTGGGCATCAGAAAGAGGACACTGAAGTGGCTAAAGGAAACAGTCTGGCCAATTGAGCAGTGAAAGAGGCTGCTAGGAAACATTTATAATGCCTTTGGTGCCTGTTCTAGACTTGTCACTGAATATCTAGACTTGTCAATTTGACCCTGAATATTCAACTGCAGACTTAGAAAAAGTTAAGAGCTGGGGTTTTGAACCACCTATATTAAACCACGGCTCACAGGTCCTGGAATTTCTGGAGCCATGTGTGCCAGAACAATCCTAGGACAGATCCCTGTCAGAAGAAGGGAAACAATACCCCGGGAAGTGCCTGTTTGAAGACTGGCAAATAAACCCAGACACTGAGCACAGGATGTAAATATTTGTTCGTCTTTGTTAATGCCTTTTCTGGATGGGTAGAGGCCTAGCCTACTAGAACTGAGAAATCCTCGGAGGTAACGAAAGCCCTACTGAAGGAAATAATTCCTTGCTTTGGCCTATCTGGCAGCATCCAGAGCAATAATGGACCTGCTTTTGTTTCAGAAATTTCACAGAAGGTTAGTAAATTTTTAGAAATCAAATGGAGACTACATAGCATGGAGACATTAGGCTTCTGGGAAGGTAAAGAAGATAAATCACAACTTGAAGAAAAATGTTGCCAAATTGTGTCAAGAAGTTCATCTCCCCTGGGATTGAGTTTTACCTTTTGCTCTGATCAGGATAAGGGTGGCTCCTTGAAGTGTTGTCAATTGAGTCCTTATGAAATGGTGTACAGGCAACCATTTCAGGCAACAATTGGGGTGGGAGATATGTATGTAGATCAAGAAGTGAAGGTAAAGAACCACATATAACATCGAAATCAGACCTTAGCTCTAATTAGTGACTTCACTTGTATGAGATCTCTCCCCCACAGGTTCAGTACATTCCTTTGAGCCCGGAGATAAGGTGCTACTCAAGACTTGGAAGACAGGATCCCCAGAAAGCCAACTAAAAGAAAAATGGACTTGAACTTTGATGTTTTGTAGGCGTTTGTACCAGCCTGGAAAGATAATTGGGGATTTATGATAACCCTAAAGGACAGGGAAGTGTTTTCTTTAAAAAATGCTAATGTAGTCCTGACTGGTGTGGTTCAGTGAGTTGGGCATTGTTCTGCAAACCGAAATGGTCACTGGCTTAATTCCCAGTCGGGGCACATGCCTGGTGCCAGGACAGGTCACCATTTTGGGGTGTGCAAGAGGCAACCCATCAATGTTTCACTCACATTGATGTTTCCTGCTTTCTCCCTCCCTTCCCCTCTCTCTAAAAAATAAATATTTTTAACGGTAATGTAGCCCCAGCTAGAAAATGCAACATTTGTCAACTGTACTAAAAACTGTTATAAATGAATTGCAACACCAACACTAACCTACCTTATCATGCCTTTAGTCATGTAAAATTGCCTTCAGAGTGGTTTCTAGTTAAGTAGAAGGACAGTTGTAATCAACAACAAAACGATTACTTCCCTATGAAACAAATCTGATAGAAATCAGATAATTACCAACAGGAGAATGATAGA